AGCGTGAGTGTGCGCGGGATTTATTTCAGTATATCCTTTCCTTTTCCTTTCCTTTTTTTTTGCCTATCCGACCACTGTGCGGCGTTGCGAGGCTCACAGCTAAATACCTACCACTTGAGCTGTGCCACCCAAGTTCAAGTTTAATGCCCAGGTTTTAACTTGCGTACGCAATGAGTTCAGATGTTCGCATCGTTTTTAAAAGTAATTTTTCGGCACTTGGGCATGACTAATGTCATACGTGTGCGTTTTAACAGTTGGTGAATGGAAAATTTCGAAAAAATTACCAGTATTAATAATTTGATTATTTGCAGGATAGTATGCATCTACATAAAAATGCATAAATGGAATAATCGTTGCACAATGGGCCAGAAGACTGAAAAAGTGGCCAAAAACCAATGTTATTTAAAAGCTTGAAACAATAAGCTTATTTAATCTAAGATACTTTGAAGTATGTAAAAACAAAATATTATGACATTTGAAACCATAAAATCTGAAAAGCGTTTGTTCGCTTTTGATAACGAAAAAATTAGATCAGTTTATTAATAAATTCTAAAACTACAGATCTCGCTCTTGAATTTGTTTAAATTATCAAAAAGACTTAGAAAAATCACTGTAGAAAAATATGTTGATAATTATTTTTGGTTTTAAAACACAATAACATATTTCAGTAAAGTTCACTATGCCCATTGTCGCCACTGCTAGCCACCGCTGTTAAAAAAAAATATAGCAAACTATTATATAGCCAACAACATCTACATTAATAAAAATCAGCGGATACTTTGCGCTTTTTGTAAATAATTTTTAAATTTCCAAGAAAACGTTTGTTCGTCTATGAACATGTGCGATACACGGCGTATGAGTAACTATCCTTTCTGGTCATTTCTACATACATATAAATTTGTAGTATTTATAAAGGAGAATCTCGAAAACTTCTGAACGGATTTGGACGAGATATTCTCTAATATATTCTGTATCGACAGGACCTTTGGTATGTTTAATATAATCTGTATCGCGAGAAGTATTATCTATAGTACTTAGAAATTCGATATGGTTGTCCCCTGCCTAAAAAATTATAAGATCCATTCGTTGAATTACTAAACGTGAGATGTCATATAATATTTTTTGAGTAGGGTTGCCGCATTTTTTAAATTTATAAGATTTTCTCCGTTCGTTGGACTTAAAATGAGGTAGCAAGTGAAAGAAAGTGGTTTCTGGATATGCAATAAGTTTTTACTTTTTTTAATGGCATTTTATGTTAATGAAACCAGACTTGTCATAAACATGCCAACGTGAGGTGTCCAATAAAAGAGCTTGGCCTCCAATTGCGCAGTAAGGTTTTATTTTTTCGAAGAGGGTTGCCAACTGTAAGAAAAGTTATATGATGTGGGATGTTCGTTGGACTAAACAGTTATTTGTCAAATGATAGGACTTAGCCTCCAGAAGTGCAAAGTGCAATAAGGTTTTAATTAATTTATATTTAAATAAAAATAAAAAAACATAAAAAAATAAAATAAAAAACATTTAATTCCCGATTTTTTTTTAAGTTTTGGGTTTTTCCTTCCGTTAATTAAATTATTAAAAAAACAAATAAAAAAATAATTCAAATAAAAGAAAAACAAATAAAAAAGTGCGATCTCTTATTTGTGTAACCTCCTCTTGGTAGGCGCTGCATACTGCGAGTATGGAAATTTGCAGGCTAATAACAGGATACATTTTGAAAGAATTTTTAAAATCCATTTATCAATTTTAGTCACATGAGTGATTTTTTTTTAACATTTTAACATAAAATGCATACAATTTTTAAAATTTGCAAATTCGTATTTTTATTTCTTTAAATAATTAAAATTATAGCCTTAGTTGATAGGTAGGCAACCCTAATCAAAAACATGTTAGGGTTAAAGCTTCTTCAAAAACTTTCCGTTCGATACCCATATTATAATGTTAAATAAGCATAGATTCTTTTAGTAAACGTAATTGTAACTTTTTAGAAAAGTGGCTACTCCACCCCAATATATATTTTTTTTATCTCTTCAAACGGTTTTTGTTATACTATGGAAATTGAAGTATGCTGTGGAGCTTTTGATTAATTATAAATTTTCATATATATGGCAACCCTGTTTTACAAATTTTTTTCCCAGAAACTTTCTAAAGAAAATACCAAGTAGAATGGGAGAAAATAGATAAATCCGTTGAATTGATGATGCGTTTAAGGCTGTTAAAACTTCAAGAAATTCAAAATACGTGCCTTCTCGGATTTTGTATAATTCTTAGACACCTGGAACTTTTCGCTATACCAAGTATTTTGATACTGCAGATAATAAGCTGTATCATACAAATATTTAATTTTTTTCAGATTTAAATAGTCAATCAACAATTTTGGCCACATTTTCTGTCTTCTGGCGCACTGTGCTTTGGCAATTTGGAGTTTTAAAAAGTCTTAAAATAAAACAATCTTTGGTAGAAGGAATTTAATCATTGTTAGTCAAGCGTAAGTTAGAGAGCAAGGTAAAGCAAGGTGCCAATGCATGGCGGGAATAGTTAAAGAAATTAATTCGAAGAATACATAAATATTTTTTTTTTCATAAAATTTTTTGTCTGATTCCGAATATTTATATCAGTTCTTTTCTATTGCGTCTTTCTTCCGAGTTGTTGCCAATTTTCCTACTTGTATATGAATGCTGTCTTGGAGCTCGACTCTATTAAAGGAAAGGAAAGCGAAACCTAACTCACTTACACCACAAGATGTATAGTCGTTCAATACCCAAGAATTTATATTTACATACATAAATACACATTACATATTACTGATATAATACGCGAAGTAAGTTTTTGTCATCGTTAGTTAGATTTTCAAAAAAATTTAATGGCAGTTACAGGCTTGCTACTTGTTTCAAACGTCAAACTCAATTTAATGCATCAATTAATAGAAATATGTTTCAAAAAGTCAGGCAAAAGAGCTTAAGGAAGATTTTAGCTTGTAAATATTTTGAATAGGGTTACCACCTGGTTGAAAAGTCGAATTTAATGAAATTATATACAAGTGATATAAAAAATTAAAAGACGGACATAAAAAAATAGTTTTAAGAAAATGTTTAATTCAAATATTTAGAATATTTTTGAAGTGTTTGAAAAGGGCTGCCATCTGATTAAAAAGTTGAAATCAAATTCATTCGTAAGCTAATTTAAATATGTACCACAATGCGAAACGAAAAAGGTTTAAGAAGGTTTTAGTTTGAAAATTTTTTTGAAGAGGGTTGCCACCTGTTTGAAAGGCCGAATTTAATAAACTATGCACAAATCAAGTGAAATTTTTAAAAATTGGTGCCAGCATGAAAACCTTAAAGAAAGCTCCAGATTAAATATATTTTTGAATTGGGTTGCCACCCATAACAAATAATTCAAAAATGTATTCTTATGTATAAGAATTTTTGTTTCGAAAAAATTTTAAACAGCCGTTTGTGCAGAAACTCGTAGGGACTGGGTCGGTGCAAAACGTGAGAACAGCCGTATGTGTTTACTACAGGTCGTTCGGTGCTGGTAATGCTGTTACCGTGACATTGTCGTGAAATGATAACCAATATTTTATAGCCTGAATAAGATAACATGGACCTGAACAATATGTACTTTCAAAAGGACGGTTCCACTTGCCACACATCGTATTTAACAATGGCCTTATTGCGAACGAATTTACATGAAACAACGAGCTCTATTGACCGCCGAAATATTGCCATTTGACAGCATTAGACTCTGGGGCTCCGTGAAAAGTATGGTCTCTGCCAATACGTTCGTGACGTTTTCAGAGCTGAAGATGAGCAAATCATATGCTATGCCAAAACGTCACCGGAAGTTTTGATATGCACATACCGTATTCCCAGAGGAGTCGTGGCGGGCATTTAAGCGGCATGGAGTATGCTTAATACAGATAGATATATGTTAATGCCATGCCTAAAAAAAAAATGATGAAATAAATAAAATCATTTCTACAAATTTTTTGTGTTTTATTTGCATAAGGAAATCTGCGGTCTTATTGAATCCCGTTTTTACATATGTACACATCTCACATATTGGTCAAAAGTGTATTAACTCAAAATATACATTTTTGATATTATTTATTTATATATTTATTCATTATTAGTACTCCGGAAAAAGCTTTTGCGTTTTCCGACAAACGCAAATTTTTAGTTAATACTCGTGTGATTTTGATGAACTCAGTTTTTTTTTTTAATGTGCAAAATAAAGCTTTTTTCATACTAAGCGTACAAGCCCGTGTGTTGCATATTTTTCTTTTGCTTATCACTTACTCCCAACAACGATATTACAACACAACTTTGTTACAAAACTGGTTATTACCTCATTGAAACCCACGAGCAAACACCAAATAACATTTGTTACTCTTACTTACTAAATAAGTGACATAAATCCGATTTCAATGGTATTTTTGTGCTGTCATACTTCTTTCGGGTCACAATATTTCCCCATTTTTGTTCAGCGCGTAGGCTTTTCCTTTTTCAATATCACTAAACGATAAACCACTGCGTACCACTGGAACCGCTTAGTCAAACGCGATTTTCCGCATATCTAAGAGTAATTTATTGAAAAGTTTTCACTTTCATAATTTTATTTATTAAGTACATCAGAGGGGTTTTCCCTCAATTTCACATACCACGTACCACATATGATTTTAAGTTTGCATTATATGTATTCTACCAAAAAGCCCGCATGCCGGAAGCGAGCCGTAGCCGTACAAGCGTTGTTCACGTAACACTTAACCGACAATACGATTATTGTTTGTAGTTATATTTTTTTGCTGTTGTGGTTATTTCTTTGTAATATTTCACACTTTTGCTTTCGTTTCATCGGCGGTGTTTACTTTTCGCGTTCGCTTTTACGCTGGTTGGTTAACTATATAGTAAGCCCAATTAAATGTTTTTACTGTTCACAACTTCACTCTCCTGTATGCCGCATTTTGTATCTTCATGCGATCGTAGTTGCGCATGCGCTTATGTTAGCGTTGTTCGTCTGCGCCGTCTCAAGTTTGGTTTACATTTGTTGGCCAACTTGGTTTGTTGGCTCGAGGTTGTTGCCATTTTGCCTGCGCTCGCAATCAGTGCAACATTTTGCTCAACGAAATTGAGTGTTTTTTGTCGCTCTGTTGATTTTGTTGCCTATTTTATTATGAAAAAGTATGAAGCGCTTAGTATCATTTCCCTATTATGTACATAGTGGTCTTGCTCATCGAAATCGAAAGTGAGTTGATATTTTGTATGTCATTGCATTTTTTGAAAGACTTGAAGTTTTGAGGGTTTTTATTTTGAGTCGATCGACAAGAGTGCAAGAGTTAAGCGGAAGTTTAGTATACTATACGTATGTGGTGATAAAGATGTTGGTAAAGCTTAAGTTCGATTGTAGTGTTTATTCAAAAGGTTGGGATAAATTGCTTATGGATCAGAAATTCTGCATGAATAGGGCTTTAGTTATTAAACATTTTTTACATCCGAAAGCACAGGATCATTTTAACTTTGTTTGCGTAAAGGTTGTTTGTGGCATATGTATATGAACATTAGGATGCCTCACCAAAAAGTATTACTGTTTTGCACTGGAATTATAAAATCAATTATATCCTCAGATAACCGCCAAAGGATGTCGATAAAATATTAAGATTTACATGAGCTGGACAGATTTTAAAATATCTCCAAAGACCTCGTTATATTGATTCCGTTTATAAAATTTTTAAACATTGTGAGCTTAAACTGTTTGGGTGGCTTCTTTTAGTCTGTTCGCATCCCAGACCGTAGCATAGCCACGGAAACACGCCGAACACATTAACACCAATAATGGTCTGGCCGGTGAAAGTGATTTCTGGCTCCCATCGCAGCTCAGAACAGTTTTTCAGACATGAACAGGAAAGTTTCTCGTAGACTGGTATATTCCCAGCATCTATATTTGGTTATAGTCATTGACATGAATAAAGGACCCTAACAAAAGGCAGAACCGCCTACAGCCATAAATGCTTTGCACCAAAAACCTTTAATTGAAAAAATTTTTCCAGGTGTGCCCATTCGATTTATTGGAAGCATAAAAAGTCAAATAATGACTAACATAAATATAGTATGTGCATACCCAATTAAAACACCCAAAAGCATCACGGAACTACGTATGTATGTATGTGCGTAGTCGATTGCGTATTAACATCAATTACAAAATCAAATATTGAGCAATAGCTAATGCGGTTATGGTGTGACTTTGCGAAATTCCCAGCCAAAATAGTCAATTCCATTTTGCTTGCAGATAAGCAACAGCAGCAAACCGAAGAAAGGGGGCAATATTGGCTGTGTCACAAAGGCAGACGAAGTCATTGTGCCAAATCCATAAATAAATAAAAATAATAAATGTAAATAGGTAAAACCTTTTTTAATATTATGCTTATGTTTTAAAGCAGCCAAAGCGGCATTTGAAAAACTAAAAGTGAAAAGAAAATGAAAAAATAAGAAATAAATGCGTGAGTGAATTTACATTACATTGAAAAAGACTCCGGTTTTGTTAACTAAAAACTTTGAAAGCAAGTTTTGTAAAATGTTTGATACGGTGCTACGCTGGCTGGTTTTTAGAACCAAATGCCCTAGCCGATTTACTGGAAGTCTTTTCAAGGACAATTCTAGGATGTTGCCCATCGTCAGAGTATTCATGCACTCTCTCTACAAAGGTGACCGAACCCGTCTCGTCGCGGCGAGAAAAAGGTTTATAACCAGGGATGGTAATCATTATGAGTGAAATGATTTAAATCAGTAGTTAATCATTATTTTATGATTTTTGTTTTTCCGCTTAGAGATAATAATAATTTTTGAGTTTTATTTCTATTATTAGGTTTTCGCTACCTCTGAAAAGGATACGGCGAAAAGGATATTAATTATTATCCAGGAGCGAAAAAATTAAAATCTTTACCGGTTAAACTCGAAAAATAAAAATCATTGTCAGTTTACGATGCTTACAACTTGTTGATTTTTTTGGTTAAAATTTAAAAAACTATGATTATTTTCCTTCCCTGTTTATAACAAGAAAAGAAGAGTTACCACCTGTTAAAAAATGTAATTCAAGCAAGTTAAATATATTACTACAATATAGATATCAATCGAAACAGTTTTGAGAAGGCTTCATTTCTAAACTACACGTAGGAGGGTTGCCACTTGTTTAAAAAGTCAAATTTAAGCTGAATTAGAGAAATCAGGTAGTTGAAATATATATAAATATATGGGTGTCAAACGAAACAGGTTAAAGAAGGTTGCAGAGTGAAAACACTTTGAATAGGGTTGGCACCTGTTAAAAAAATTACGTTTAATTATTTAGCAAGTTAAGTGATTTAATATTTTATGGCTATCAAGTTGATTTATTGCAATTAGGTATTTGTATTATATAGCACAAAAAGAGGGTTAAAAAGGTTGTTGTTTGAAAATGGTATGAAGAGGGTTGCCACCTGTTTGAAAAGTCGAATTTAATGCGATTATACACAAGTTAAATGAAATATATATTAAACTATTTTGAGATTTGAAATGTTGCCACCTATTTAAAATTTAAATTTTATTCAAATTATTTAAAATGTTAAATGTATTATTACAATATGGGTATCAAACGAAATGTTTTGGAAAAGTCTTTATATCTAAATTACATGTAGGAAGGTTGTCACTTGTTGAAAAAGTCAAATTCTTCTTGGATTAAGGGAATTAGGCAATGTTTCACAATATGTGTGCCTGGGGAAGGAGCTTTAAGAATATTTCGGTTTGAACATATGTACGTTTTTTGAGGGGAATAAAAAACGAACAATTTGATATCTCCTATTTGTTTGTCAGAATTTATATATGTTGAGCCTTATTGAAATAAATTACTTCTAGGGCATTTTATAAACTCAGCTAAATGGGCGAGGGCAAACTTATATTCCTATGTATATATATATTTATATAAACTAGTGTTCGCCCAGCGGTTGAAATTCAACCGATAAAATTAAGGATAGTTTATGTAAGTTGAATGAGCTAAAATAACATTAGTTGGAATGGGTTAAGTGGAGAGGAGTTTAGCTTAGTACTTGGCATAACATAACATAACCATAACATAAGAATAAATAACATAACATATGAAGCATAACACACCACAATATAACATCGCACACTCTTCAGTTGTATTTCCTTTTTATCCCTTTTTTCACCTCTATCTAAATCTTATTTATTTTGGTTCATTTTATGCCAAATGATGTTGCCTTTGATGCCACATCAAGTGATATCATGTCATGTGGTGAAATTGAGTGTGGTGAGCTACGGTGTGGTGGAATTGGGTGTAGGAGTTACGGTGTGGTGAATTTAGGTGTGGTGGATTCAGGT